TCAGTTAAACACACGAGGTAATGAAGTTATTAATGTTACCTCGGCTGAAAACACAATCAGTTAAACACACGAGGTAATGAAGTTATTAATGTTACCTCGGCTGAAAACAACAAGACAATCAGTTAAACACACGAGGTAATGAAGTTATTAATGTTACCTCGGCTGAAAACACAATCAGTTAAACACACGAGGTAATGAAGTTATTAATGTTACCTCGGCTGAAAACAACAAGACAATCAGTTAAACACACGAGGTAATGAATAAGGTCACTGATCGATGGGGGGGGGGGGGGGGGGGGGGGGGGGACACGACCGTGAGAACACAGAAGGAACTGATTCCACAGAACACACACTCTTCATCCACAGAGATTCATTGCAGACTGCATTATAATCGCCATCATGAAAAAGAGGAAGTATAGAAAGTGAAAAGGAGAAATGTGGCGATGCTCTGCTCTGTTATCGGCCAATAGGTAGCTCTACAGGGAAATAGAATGTTATTTATGTCTTGCAGGTTCCAAGCAGGAGGAAGCTAACCCTCGCCTAAAACACAACAGGTGTAGGCTACAGGTGGTTCTTGCCTTTCAAATCGAGAACCAGCAGGCATCTCCTGAACAAGTAATTAAGCCATCTTGTGTCTGTCTTCCGAAGGCCACTGACTGCACGGTGTCTTCAGACTAGACTAGACTAGCAGGCTCTGCTTAGCCAATCACTGACTGCAGGCTCTGCTTAGCCAACCACATCTCCTGGAGAAACCCTGTCTGCCCTAATGGCACCCTGGTCAATCTTAGTGCACTAAAAACGGGAATAGGGTGACATTTCAGGACACAGCATCAACCAGCCCCTGTCTGTCTCCTATCAACCAGCCCCTGTCTGTCTCCTATCAACCAGCCCCTGTCTGTCTCCTATCAGCCAGCCCCTGTCTGTCTCCTATCAGCCAGCCCCTGTCTGTCTCCTATCAACCAGCCCCTGTCTGTCTCCTATCAGCCAGCCCCTGTCTGTCTCCTATCAGCCAGCCCCTGTCTGTCTCCTATCAACCAGCCCCTGTCTGTCTCCTGTCAGCCAGCCCCTGTCTGTCTCCTGTCAACCAGCCCCTGTCTGTCTCCTGTCAACCAGCCCCTGTCTGTCTCCTGTCAGCCAGCCCCTGTCTGTCTCCTATCAGCCAGCCCCTGTCTGTCTCCTATCAACCAGCCCCTGTCTGTCTCCTATCAACCAGCCCCTGTCTGTCTCCTATCAGCCAGCCCCTGTCTGTCTCCTGTCAACCAGCCCCTGTCTGTCTCCTGTCAGCCAGCCCCTGTCTGTCTCCTATCAGCCAGCCCCTGTCTGTCTCCTATCAGCCAGCCCCTGTCTGTCTCCTGTCAACCAGCCCCTGTCTGTCTCCTATCAACCAGCCCCTGTCTGTCTCCTATCAGCCAGCCTCTGTCTGTCTCCTGTCAACCAGCCCCTGTCTGTCTCCTGTCAGCCAGCCCCTGTCTGTCTCCTATCAGCCAGCCCCTGTCTGTCTCCTATCAGCCAGCCCCTGTCTGTCTCCTGTCAACCAGCCCCTGTCTGTCTCCTATCAACCAGCCCCTGTCTGTCTCCTATCAGCCAGCCCCTGTCTGTCTCCTGTCAACCAGCCCCTGTCTGTCTCCTGTCAGCCAGCCCATGTCTGTCTCCTATCAACCAGCCCCTGTCTGTCTCCTGTCAACCAGCCCCTGTCTGTCTCCTATCAGCCAGCCCCTGTCTGTCTCCTATCAGCCAGCCCCTGTCTGTCTCCTATCAGCCAGCCCCTGTCTGTCTCCTGTCAACCAGCCCCTGTCTGTCTCCTATCAGCCAGCCCCTGTCTGTCTCCTGTCAACCAGCCCCTGTCTGTCTCCTATCAGCCAGCCCCTGTCTGTCTCCTGTCAACCAGCCCCTGTCTGTCTCCTATCAGCCAGCCCCTGTCTGTCTCCTATCAGCCAGCCCCTGTCTGTCTCCTATCAGCCAGCCACTGTCTGTCTCCTAGTTGTAACCAACTAGGGCTGTGGCGGTCACGAAATGTAATCAGCCGGTGATTGTCAAGCAAATAACATTCGATCTCACGGTAATTGACTGTTAATTAACAAATCCATTTAGCTTCTCCTGGCTTCCACACATATCCTACAAGCCACCGATGCAGACCTTTGGAAAATCTACATTTAAAAAAGTCTAATAAATCCATGTAATATAGCCTACACCATCACAATAAATCCATTATTTATTTTAGACAGGTCTAAAGAAACATGATATGAAGAAAATGTAGTCTATTTCAGAAGAACAGAATAGCGTACTCTGAGTTGTCCTTATGTTAGGTCCTGATCTGGCTATGCCATATGGCTGTGGGCTACACTAGTTCATTTAGCAGACAAGATTTGCTTAGAATTCTGTAGCATTATTTTATAGTATGAAGAATACAACTGAACAAAGCTGAATAAAATAGAAAGGATATTTTCTCCAAACGGTTTGAGGAAGTGGCCACATGCGGCTATTCTGTGTTGAGCGGTTAACAAAGAAACAGGTCCTCCTTTATGCTTCATTTAGAGTTATTGATGTACAGTTGAAGTCGGAAGTTTACATACACTTAGGTTGGAGTCATTAAAACTCATTTTTCAACCACTCCACAAATGTCTTGTTAACAAACTATAGTTTTGGCAAGTCGGTTAGGACATCTACTTTGTGCATGACACAAGTAATTTTTCCAACAATTGTTTACAGACAGATTATTTCACTGTATCACAATTCCAGTGGGTCAGAAGTTTACATACACTAAGTTGACTGTGCCTTTAAACAGCTTGGAAAGTTCCAGAAAACTATGTCATGGCTTTAGAAACTTCTGATAGGCTAACTGACATCATTTGAGTCAATTGGAGGTGTACCTGTGGATGTATTTCAAGGCCTACCTTCAAACGCAGTGCCTCTTTGCTTCACATCATGGGAAAATCAAAAGAAATCCGCCAAGACCTCAGAAAGAAAGTTGTAGACCTCCACAAGTCTGGTTCATCCTTGGGAGCAATTTCCAAACGCCTGAAGGTACCACGTTCATCTGTACAAACAATAGTACGCAAGTATAAACACCATGGGACCACGCAGCCGTCATACCGCTCAGGAAGGAGACGCGTTCTGTCTCCTAGAGATGAACGTACTTTGGTGCGAAAAGTGCAAATCAATCCCAGAACAACAGCAAAGGACCTTGTGAAGATGCTGGAGGAAACAGGTACAAGTATCTATATCCACAGTAAAACGTGTCCTATATCGAAATAACCTGAAAGGCCGCTCAGCAAGGAAGAAGCCACTGCTCCAAAACCGCCATAAAAAAGCCAGACTACGGTTTGCAACTGCACATGGGGACAAAGATCGTACTTTTTGGAGAAATGTCCTCTGGTCTGATGAAACAAAAATAGAACTGTTTGGCCATAATGACCATCGTTATGTTTGGAGGAAAAAGGGGGACGCTTGCAAGCCGAAGAACACCATCCAAACCGTGAAGCACGGGGGTGGCAGCATCATGCTGTGGGGGTGCTTTGCTGCAGGAGGGACTGGTGCACTTCACAAAATAGATGGCATCATGAGGAAGGAAAATGATATGGATATATTGAAGCAACATCTCAAGACATCAGTCAGGAAGTTAAAGCTTGGTCGCAAATGGGTCTTCCAAATGGACAATGACCCCAAGCATACTTCCAAAGTTGTGGCAAAATGGCTTAAGGACAACAAAGTCAAGGTATTGGAGTGGCCGTCACAAAGCCCTGACCTCAATCCTATAGAACATTTGTGGGCAGAACTGAAAAAGCGTGTGCGAGCAAGGAGGCCTACAAACCTGACTCAGTTACACCAGCTCTGTCAGGAGGAATGGGCCAAAATTCACCCAACTTATTGTGGGAAGCTTGTGGAAGGCTACCCGAAACGTTTGACCCAAGTTAAACAATTTAAAGGTAATGCTACCAAATACTAATTGAGTGTATGTAAACTTCTGACCCACTGGGAATGTGATGAAAGAAATAAAAGCTGAAATAAATCACTGTACTATTATTCTGACATTTTAAAATAAAGTGGTGATCCTAACTGACCTAAGACAGGGAATTTTTACTAGGATTAAATGTCAGAAATTGTGAAAAACTGAGTTTAAATGTATTTGGCTAAGGTGTATGTAGACTTCAACTGTAACTTTAGTTGTTCTACAAACGTTGGGCTATATTTTTTGATTTTTAATACATTGTAAGACTGCATGATGCGACTAATGATGATTTGAAAAAAAAGTCACTTGAAAGGCATGAGCTCTGCTTTGTTTTAAGCGCAGGCTGTACACACTTCATCTGTCTCTCATTCACAATTGGACAAGCACTTGTTAATGCCTCGAATTTCAAGGCGGCATTCCCCTTTGTGTGGCCGTAATGCACCCTAAAGAAATCCATGCCTTTTGCGGCCAGTGGCCGGTGTGCCCTTGGCCCGGAGTGCTGCACGCTCCGAAGCACCTGTCACTCACATGGCTCTCCATCAGGTGATCCGGTCTTTCTACAAGTGAAGAGAGACACATCGGGGACACAACCGCGCGCGCCCTTATCCAATTCTGAGGTGCATATCAGCCAACAAGATGAGTAGGCCTAACGAACAGCAAAAGCACTAGCCTATGTCAATCTACTATCCCCCATAGTACAAAAGTCGACCTATTCTATTCTGTGCGAGAAATAAATATTCCAAACATAGTCTGGGACAGTTGTGGGACGCAATAGATCCCAAATTAATTCAACCACTAGCCAACCACTATAGACTGATCATTTCTTTGTCAGTGGGCAAACGTACAAAATCAGCAGGGGATCAAATACTTTTTTTCCTGACTGTATGTAGTTTTGTTGGTTAGGCCTATATAACCCCTATATGTAGTTTTCAGGGAAGGACAGTCCATGAGAGCAACATTACATTACTGTTTACCTGACTAAAACCTATAGATAATTTGTATGGATGAATCCTTCCTTCGTTCTGTTGGTTGGGCATTCCACAGTAACTAACCTCATGGTGGCTGCTGGTGTCGGAGGGATCGCAGCGTGAGCTGTTGTCAGAGACAGGGTAGGTTGTGTTGGTCATCTCCTGCCATAGCCTCCTGTAGACATACTGCTGTACCAGGGGGTAGATGAGGAAACTGGCGAAGGCATAGAAGGCAACCAGTGGCTCTACCAGGAATAACCCCTTCATTATCCTCAGGGGAGAGTGGACACAAAAGGCAGATCCCTGGAAGACAAGGTAGGAGAGTTAGGACAAACAATCCCTGGGAGGAGTGGACAGACAATCCTGGAGGGAGGGGACAGACAGATCCCGGGAGGGGAGTGCAGAAATCCCGGAGGGATGAGTCCTGGGAGGAGGAAATCCCTGGGAGGGAGGGACAGATCCCTGGAGGGATGACAGACAATCCCTGGAGGGGATGACGATCCCTGGGGGTGGACAACAGACCCTGGAGGAGTGGACGTCCTGGAGGAGTGGACGAACAGATCCCTGGAGGGAGTGGAGACGATCCCTGAGGGAGTGGACAGATCCTGGGAGGGGAGGGACAGATCCCTGGGAGGGGAGTGACAGACAGACCCTGGAGGGAGTGGACAGCAGATCCTGGGAGGGGAGTGGACAGACAGACCCTGGGAGGAGTGACAGATCCTGGAGGGGAGGGACAGATCCCTGGGAGGGATGGACAGACAGACCCTGGGAGGGGAGTGGACAGACAGATCCCTGGGAGGGAGTGGACAACAGATCCCTGGGAGGGGAGGGATGGACAGATCCTGGGAGGGGATGGACAGAACATCCCTGGGAGGGGAGTGACAGACAATCCCTGGGAGGGGAGTGGACAGACAGATCCCTGGGAGGGGAGTGGACAGATCCATGGGAGGGGAGTGGACAGACAGATCCCTGGGAGGGGAGTGGATGGACAGATCCCTGGGAGGGAGTGGACAGATCCCTGGGAGGGGAGTGGATGACAGATCCCTGGGAGGGGAGTGGACAGAAGATCCCTGGGAGGGGAGTGGACAGATCCCTGGGAGGGATGGATGGACAGATCCCTGGGAGGGGAGTGGACAGATCCCTGGGAGGGATGGACAGACAGATCCCTGGGAGGGGAGTGGACAGACAGATCCCTGGGAGGGGAGTGGACAGACAGATCCCTGGGAGGGGAGTGGATGGACAGATCCCTGGGAGGGGAGTGGACAGAACATATCCCTGGGAGGGGAGTGGACAGATCCCTGGAGGGAGGAATCCCTGGGGGAGTGGACAGATCCCTGGAAGGGGAGTGGACAGACAGATCCCTGGGAGGGGAGTGGACAGACAGATCCCTGGGAGGGGAGTGGACAGATCCCTGGGAGGGGAGGGGATGGACAGATCCCTGGGAGGGGAGTGGACAGATCCCTGGGAGGGGAGTGGACAGACAGATCCCTGGGAGGGGAGTGGACAGACAGATCCCTGGGAGGGGAGGTGGACAGATCCCTGGGAGGGGAGTGGACAGAACATATCCCTGGGAGGGGAGTGGACAGACAGATCCCTGGGAGGGGAGTGGACAGACAGATCCCTGGGAGGGGAGTGGACAGATCCCTGGGAGGGGAGTGGACAGAACAGATCCCTGGGAGGGGAGTGGACAGACTGGAGAGTGGAGACCCTGGGAGGGGAGTGGACAGATCCCTGGAGGGGATGGACAGACAGATCCCTGGGAGGGGAGTGGACAGATCCCTGGGAGGGGAGTGGACAGACAGATCCCTGGGAGGGGAGTGGAACAGACAGATCCCTGGGAGGGGGGATGGACAAGATCCCTGGGAGGGGAGTGGGAACAGAACATATCCTGGGAGGGGAGTGGGACAGACAGATCCCTGGGAGGGGGTGGACAGACAGATCCCTGGGAGGGGATGACAGACAGATCCCTGGGAGGGGGAGTTGGAACAGATCCCTGGGAGGGGAGTGGACAGACAGATTCCCTGGGAGCGGGGGAAGGTGGACAGATCCCTGGGAGGGCGATGGGACAGAACAGATCCTGGGAGGGGATGTGGACAGACAGATCCCTGGGAGGGGGGATGGGACAGATCCCTGGGAGGCCGGAGTGGGACAGATCCCTGGGAGGGGAGTGGCACGATCCCTGGGAGGGAAGTGGACAGGAAGATCCCTGGGAGGGGGAGTGGACAGACAGATCCCTGGGAGGGGAGGTGGACAGACAATCCCTGGGAGGGGAGTGGGACAGCTCCCTGGGAGGGGAAGTGGACAGATCCCTGGGGGGGAGTGGACAGACCGATCCCTGGGAGGGGAGTGGGACAGACAGATCCCTGGGAGGGGAGTGGACAGACAGATCCCTGGGAGGGGAGGTGGAGGACAGCATCCCTGGGAGGGGAGTGGACAGACAGATCCCTGGGAGGGGAGTGGACAATCCGGAGGGAGGACAGATCCCTGGGAGGGGAGTGGACAGACAGATCCCTGGGAGGGGAGTGGACAACAGATCCTGGGAGGGGAGTGGACAGACAGATCCCTGGGAGGGGAGGGATGGACAGATCCCTGGGAGGGGATGACGATCCCGGGAGGGGAGTGGAGATGAGCAATCCCTGGGAGGGGAGTGGACGACAGATCCCTGGGAGGGGAGTGGAGGACAGATCCCTGGGAGGGGATGAAAACTGGGAGGGAGTGGACAGATCCCTGGGAGGGGAGTGGATGGACAGATCCCTGGGAGGGGAGTGGACAGATCCCTGGGAGGGGAGTGGACAGACAGATCCCTGGGAGGGGAGTGGACAGACAGATCCCTGGGAGGGGAGTGGAAGACAGATCCCTGGGAGGGGAGTGGAGACAGATCCCTGGGAGGGGAGTGGACAGACAGATCCCTGGGAGGGGAGTGGACAGATCCCTGGGAGGGGAGTGGACAGATCCCTGGAGGGGAGTGGACAGACAGATCCCTGGGAGGGGAGTGGACAGACAGATCCCTGGGAGGGGAGTGGACAGATCCCTGGGAGGGAGAGGGAGGATGACAGATCCCTGGGAGGGGAGTGGACAGATCCCTGGGAGGGGAGTGGGACAGACAGATCCCTGGGAGGGGAGTGGACAGACAGATCCCTGGGAGGATGGAGACCTGGAGGGGAGTGGACAGATCCCTGGGAGGGGAGTGAGACAGATCCGGAGGGGGTGGACACAGATCCTGGAGGAGTGAATCCCTGGGAGGGGAGTGGAGATCTGGAGGGGAGTGGACAGACAGATCCCTGGGAGGGGAGTGGACAGACAGATCCCTGGGAGGGGAGTGGACAGATCCATGGGAGGGGAGTGGACAGACAGATCCCTGGGAGGGGAGTGGATGGACAGATCCCTGGGAGGGGAGTGGACAGATCCCTGGGAGGGGAGTGGATGGACAGATCCCTGGGAGGGGAGTGGACAGACAGATCCCTGGGAGGGGAGTGGACAGATCCCTGGGAGGGGAGTGGATGGACAGATCCCTGGGAGGGGAGTGGGACAGATCCCTGGGAGGGGAGTGGACAGACAGATCCCTGGGGGGAGGGGAGTGGGACAGACAGATCCCTGGGAGGGAGTGGACAGACAGATCCCTGGGAGGGGAGTGGACAGATCCCTGGGAGGGGAGTGGACAGAACAGATCCCTGGGAGGGGAGTGGACAGATCCCTGGGAGGGGAGTGGACAGATCCCTGGGAGGGGAGTGGACAGACAGATCCCTGGGAGGGGAGTGGACAGACAGATCCCTGGGAGGGGAGTGGACAGATCCCTGGGAGGGGAGTGGACAGAACAGATCCCTGGGAGGGGAGTGGACAGATCCCTGGGAGGGGAGTGGATGGACAGATCCCTGGGAGGGGAGTGGACAGATCCCTGGGAGGGGAGTGGATGGACAGATCCCTGGGAGGGGAGTGGATGGACAGATCCCTGGGAGGGGATGGACAGACAGATCCCTGGGAGGGGAGTGGACAGATCCCTGGGAGGGGAGTGGACAGACAGATCCCTGGGAGGGGAGTGGATGGACAGATCCCTGGGAGGGGAGTGGACAGACAGATCCCTGGGAGGGGAGTGGACAGACAGATCCCTGGGAGGGGAGTGGACAGACAGATCCCTGGGAGGGGAGTGGACAGAACAGATCCCTGGGAGGGGAGTGGACAGACAGATCCCTGGGAGGGGAGTGGACAGATCCCTGGGAGGGGAGTGGACAGACAGATCCCTGGGAGGGGAGTGGATGGACAGATCCCTGGGAGGGGAGTGGACAGACAGATCCCTGGGAGGGGAGAGGAGTGGACAGATCCCTGGGAGGGGAGTGGACAGACAGATCCCTGGGAGGGGAGTGGACAGACAGATCCCTGGGAGGGGAGTGGATGGACAGATCCCTGGGAGGGGAGTGGACAGACAGATCCCTGGGAGGGGAGTGGACAGACAGATCCCTGGGAGGGGAGTGGACAGACAGATCCCTGGGAGGGGAGGGGATGGACAGATCCCTGGGAGGGGAGTGGACAGATCCCTGGGAGGGGAGTGGACAGATCCCTGGGAGGGGAGAGGACAGATCCCTGGGAGGGGAGAGGAGTGGACAGATCCCTGGGAGGGGAGTGGACAGACAGATCCCTGGGAGGGGAGGGGACAGACAGATCCCTGGGAGGGGAGTGGACAGACAGATCCCTGGGAGGGGAGTGGACAGACAGATCCCTGGGAGGGGAGTGGACAGACAGATCCCTGGGAGGGGAGTGGACAGACAGATCCCTGGGAGGGGAGGGGATGGACAGATCCCTGGGAGGGGAGTGGACAGACAGATCCCTGGGAGGGGAGTGGACAGACAGATCCCTGGGAGGGGAGTGGACAGACAGATCCCTGGGAGGGGAGTGGACAGACAGATCCCTGGGAGGGGAGTGGACAGACAGATCCCTGAGAGGGGAGGGGACAGACAGATCCCTGGGAGGGGAGTGGACAGACAGATCCCTGGGAGGGGAGTGGACAGACAGATCCCTGGGAGGGGAGTGGACAGACAGATCCCTGGGAGGGGAGTGGACAGACAGATCCCTGGGAGGGGAGTGGACAGATCCCTGGGAGGGGAGTGGACAGATCCCTGGGAGGGGAGTGGACAGATCCCTGGGAGAGGAGTGGACAGACAGATCCCTGGGAGGGGAGTGGACAGATCCCTGGGAGGGGAGTGGACAGACAGATCCCTGGGAGGGGAGTGGACAGATCCCTGGGAGGGGAGTGGACAGATCCCTGGGAGGGGAGGTAGGAGTTCTCAGTGGACAGAACAGATCCTTGAGAGGGGAGGTATTGAATGTATTTGGGTAAAACATAATACAACAAGATGTACTTTGGATCCCCAGAGGATAGTCAAAAGCATTGGATCCCCAGAGGATAGTTAAAAGCATTGGATCCCCAGAGGATAGTTAAAATCATTAATTAAAACATGTTTGCAAAGTGGTCCTTGAATCGAATGTATTGGGTTTTATACAGGGGCAACCTGGACACAGGATGGATTCTAAACAAGTGAGTCAGAACAGTATGTAGCCCATTTATACTTCTGTTTTCATCATTGTGTCTTCAAACAACAGTATAGCACAGGGCTGCCCAGTCTCGGTCCTGGAGGGCTGAAACCGCTTCCGGGTTTTGTTTCTACCTGGTAGTTAATTGCACTGAATGAGTCCCTAATTAGAAGGATAGGATGAAAACCAGAAGTGTTTTGGACCTCCGGGACTGAGACTGGGCATGGTGTGCCTGCTACACCTAAAGTCTTTTTAGTCACTTGGTTAGATATACCCGAAGAGACAGAACCATACAGTAGAGAAATGGAACACACAGGAAAAGAATGTCAAGTCACACCAGCTGTGATGTGTAGTCAGACCAAGTCTAATGAGCCTACGGCTTGCTTTCTAAAGATAATGTATACGGCTAGACTCAGCCTGTATGCAAATAAAGAGAATGCCTGTGCCAAGAAGTTACAAGCATACTGTAGGCTACGGTCTGGATTAATACATAGAGATTGGAACGTCAGCCAAAATAGATTGAGGATTCTTGACAACAAGTATAGAAAAAAAAAATATTGACATATTTTTTTTAAATATATATATATAAAATACCACATGTCAAAGTAGGTAGTCTTCTTCTTCCAGTTCTTACTCATAGTTTGTATTTATTATGGACCCCCCCTGCCAAGGCAGCAGCTACTCTTCCTGGGGTTTATTATGGATCCCCATTAGTTCCTGCCAAGGCAGCAGCTACTCTTCCTGGGGTTTATTATGGATCCCCATTAGTTCCTGCCAAGGCAGCAGCTACTCTTCCTGGGGTTTATTATGGATCCCCATTAGTTCCTGCCAAGGCAGCAGCTACTCTTCCTGGGGTTTATTATGGATCCCCAGTAGTTCCTGCCAAGGCAGCAGCTACTCTTCCTGGGGTTTATTATGGATCCCCATTAGTTCCTGCCAAGGCAGCAGCTACTCTTCCTGGGGTTTATTATGGATCCCCCTGCCAAGGCAGCAGCTACTCTTCCTGGGGTTTATTATGGATCCCCATTAGTTCCTGCCAAGGCAGCAGCTACTCTTCCTGGGGTTTATTATGGATCCCCATTAGTTCCTGCCAAGGCAGCAGCTACTCTTCCTGGGGTTTATTATGGATCCCCATTAGTTCCTGCCAAGGCAGCAGCTACTCTTCCTGGGGTTTATTATGGATCCCCAGTAGTTCCTGCCAAGGCAGCAGCTACTCTTCCTGGGGTTTATTATGGATCCCCATTAGTTCCTGCCAAGGCAGCAGCTACTCTTCCTGGGGTTTATTATGGATCCCCATTAGTTCCTGCCAAGAGAAGCAGCTACTCTTCCTGGGGTTTATTATGGATCCCCATTAGTTCCTGCCAAGGCAGCAGCTACTCTTCCTGGGGTTTATTATGGATCCCCAGTAGTTCCTGCCAAGGCAGCAGCTACTCTTCCTGGGGTTTATTATGGATCCCCATTAGTTCCTGCCAAGGCAGCAGCTACTCTTCCTGGGGTTTATTATGGATCCCCATTAGTTCCTGCCAAGGCAGCAGCTACTCTTCCTGGGGTTTATTATGGATCCCCATTAGTTCCTGCCAAGGCAGCAGCTACTCTTCCTGGGGTTTATTATGGATCCCCATTAGTTCCTGCCAAGGCAGCAGCTACTCTTCCTGGGGTTTATTATGGATCCCCAGTAGTTCCTGCCAAGGCAGCAGCTACTCTTCCTGGGGTTTATTATGGATCCCCATTAGTTCCTGCCAAGGCAGCAGCTACTCTTCCTGGGGTTTATTATGGATCCCCATTAGTTCCTGCCAAGGCAGCAGCTACTCTTCATAGGGTTTATTATGGATCCCCATTAGTTCCTGCCAAGGCAGCAGCTACTCTTCCTGGGGTTTATTATGGATCCCCATTAGTTCCTGCCAAGGCAGCAATTACTCTTCCTGGGGTTTATTATGGATCCCCATTAGTTCCTGCCAAGGCAGCAGCTACTTTTCCTGTGGTTTATTATGGATCCCCATTAGTTCCTGCCAAGGCAGCAGCTACTCTTCCTGGGGTTTATTATGGATCCCCAGTAGTTCCTGCCAAGGCAGCAGCTACTCTTCCTGGGGTTTATTATGGATCCCCATTAGTTCCTGCCAAGGCAGCAGCTACTCTTCCTGGGGTTTATTATGGATCCCCAGTAGTTCCTGCCAAGGCAGCAGCTACTCTTCCTGGGGTTTATTATGGATCCCCATTAGTTCCTGCCAAGGCAGCAGCTACTCTTCCTGGGGTTTATTATGGATCCCCATTAGTTCCTGCCAAGGCAGCAGCTACTCTTCATAGGGTTTATTATGGATCCCCATTAGTTCCTGCCAAGGCAGCAGCTACTCTTCCTGGGGTTTATTATGGATCCCCATTAGTTCCTGCCAAGGCAGCAATTACTCTTCCTGGGGTTTATTATGGATCCCCATTAGTTCCTGCCAAGGCAGCAGCTACTTTTCCTGTGGTTTATTATGGATCCCCATTAGTTCCTGCCAAGGCAGCAGCTACTCTTCCTGGGGTTTATTATGGATCCCCATTAGTTCCTGCCAAGGCAGCAGCTACTCTTCCTGGGGTTTATTATGGATCCCCATTAGTTCCTGCCAAGGCAGCAGCTACTCTTCCTGGGGTTTATTATGGATCCCCATTAGTTCCTGCCAAGGCAGCAGCTACTCTTCCTGGGGTTTATTATGGATCCCCATTAGTTCCTGCCAAGGCAGCAGCTACTCTTCCTGGGGTTTATTATGGATCCCCATTAGTTCCTGCCAAGGCAGCAGCTACTCTTCCTGGGGTTTATTATGGATCCCCATTAGTTCCTGCCAAGGCAGCAGCTACTCTTCCTGGGGTTTATTATGGATCCCCATTAGTTCCTGCCAAGGCAGCAGCTACTCTTCCTGGGGTTTATTATGGATCCCCATTAGTTCCTGCCAAGGCAGCAGCTACTCTTCCTGGGGTTTATTATGGATCCCCATTAGTTCCTGCCAAGGCAGCAGCTACTCTTCCTGGGGTTTATTATGGATCCCCATTAGTTCCTGCCAAGGCAGCAGCTACTCTTCCTGGGGTTTATTATGGATCCCCATTAGTTCCTGCCAAAGCAGCAGCTACTCTTCCTGGGGTTTATTATGGATCCCCATTAGTTCCTGCCAAGGCAGCAGCTACTCTTCCTGGGGTTTATTATGGATCCCCATTAGTTCCTGCCAAGGCAGCAACTACTCTTCCTGGGGTCCAAACACATTAAGGCACAGCACACACACAAAAAAACTCCAAAATGAATCAGAACATCATATAACATCATTACACCACTACATATCTACAACACAAAATGTATAATACCACCATACAACAATATGAACATGTACGTGTGTGTAGAGTGCGTGTGCTAGCGTGTGCCCGTGTGTCTCTTCACAGTCTGCGTTGTTCCGTTTTTTTTTTTTTAAATCTGATTTTACTCCTTGCATGAGTTACCTGATGTGGAATAGAGTTCCACGTAATCATGGCTCGGTGTAGTACTGTGCGTTTCCCGGAGTCTGTTCTGGACTTGGGGACTGTAAAGATACCTCTGGTGGCATGTCTTGAGGGGTATGCATGTTTGTGTCCGAGTTGTGTGCTAGTCGTCTGAACAGACAGCTCAGCGCATTCAACATGTCGATACCTCTAGTTCAGTTATGTGTCAATATTAGCTGACACAAACAATAGGAACTGATGAGACGTAGCCTGCTACTATAAAAGGTGAGCAAAGTGTAACCGTGCTAACACTTTGCACACTGACTGACCGAGATATTAGGATAAAGAACATGCATGATATCACTGGCAAAAATAGACAATTTCTCACCTTTTAGTTTGTCATTTGGTTTAGAGTAAGTATTTTAAAACGCCTTTCCCACTCGTCCTGGATGTTTAGACCATTTCTGCGGACATCTGTTCAGTGTTTAGAGATCCACCACTTATGAAAGGTTTAACGTCCTGCGTCCCGCCCCTCTCGCCCTGTGATTGGATAACACTCAGGGGCGCGTCCCAGAGCAGCTGTCAGTCATTTGAAGGGACAGTGAGGGTCGTTCTCCATACAGCAGAACATTTAGTGACAGTCACTGATAGTCTTTTTCGTTTTTCTGTTTGCCTCCACATTGGTTACCTCAGACATCTAGTACTGTATTGGTATTACATCTGAATACATCCTCTGTAGCTCAGCTGGTAGAGCACGGCGCTTGCAACGCCAGGGTAGTGGGTTCGATCCCCGGGACCCCTCATACATAAAAATGTATGCACGCATGACTGTAAGTCGCTTTGGATAAAAGCGTCTGCTAAATTGCATATTATTATTATTTAACCAAAATATAACGTTCAAAGGGAAACTAATTTACCTGTATGGAATCTCCTGTTGAATTTGTTTATCTTGGTGTTGCTGTATTCACTTTTTCTCCTTCAGTTCACTCAGTTTTCCTTTATTTAAAATATCCATCACTTTATGTAAATGTGATTTAACGTTAACGTAAGAGAAGGTGTGTTGCTACGTCACGTTGGGGGAAATATTTAGTTATTATTGAGGTCGCCGGCAGTGGAGGAACGGTAATAGGTTTTAACAAATGTCATTTTTCTACGGTGTACCATTTAAAGCTGATGGATAAATACGAGGAAATAGTTCAACTAGATACCGTTCTTTAGCTGAGGATGTTGGCTACATAAGCTGTCACTAGCGAGAAGAAAACTGCATTATTTTATATGCACCAATTTGCTAAATTCAACCAATTGATGTGAGCTGCTGATGTGATTGA